ACCCAACATATAATAATAATCAAAATCGTTTGAACGCTGGAGACTTCAAATAATACAACTAGGTCAATTTAAAAGTTGTTGTTTTTGTTTTCGAAAAGTTTCTTATTTAGTACATTCGTGTATGACTGTAACTGTTTGAACGAGCATAGAAAACAACTCATCAAAGTACGTTTTTTTTTCTTATTTCAATAAATAACACGAGTTAAAACGTGTTTTCAATTTTATACATTATATACGTATTTCAAATGTTCTCATTAGTAATTTTTGTTAATTCTGCCTAAAGGTATGCAACACATTTGTGTCTATATCGAATATGTTTAACATAATAAAACTTCAAGGGTTTTTATATACTAACTAATTTAATAGTATGAAAAATCTGTGTACATCTACCATTATGGAGTGTTTTTATGTGTATTATTATTATTCATAAGTTTTTCATACCTATACGAATTTAACGTAAATAGACCAAAAAAAAAAATAATACTAACTGTGTGTTGTTTTTTATAATATACTTGCGCATTTCATACAACGGAAATTCAGAGTATAAAACAAAACCTTAACCATTATGGTTTGGAAACCCAAATGTTGGCCTCTAGTTAAAGAAATTTGTACTTGTTAGAAAGTAATCGTTCTTTTCGTTAACATTTTTCCAGAAATAAAGCCAGTACACTTGAGTCAAGGCATAGTGGGGAGGGGGAGGTCATAGGTCTACAGAAATTATTATAACTGAAAGTGATAAAATCATTTTTAAACAAACGCTGGGTGGATACGATTGTCTGTCTATATAAATGCAATGATATATTTTCATTTGACCGCAGATATTGTTGAGAAAATGTTATATGTTATAGTTCCATTCTAGATATAATTTTCCTGTACCCTAAATGCCCAAAACTGCTTGAAAAAGTGAAATAAAGAAAAAAAAACCAATACAGTTGGGTCAGCATAATGTATTACGTTTTGAAATTAAAAACATGATTTTCTCAGAATGAACAAAAATTGACATTGATCTTTTTTCCCCGCAGCCCTTCAAATATAAACAGAAAAAAGTGAATTTTAAACAGTTAACAAAAACAAAGCTATTTAAGATATCAACAAAACCGACGTTTAACCAAACCCTTTCAAACGTGGATATTAAAATATAAAAAATAATAATCTAATTTATCTGATTAAACAATTAATTAAGTCGTTAAAATGCTTAACGACTATTGTAGAAATCGAATTTTTTTTTTAAAAATGTCAAAAAGCTATGGTTATAAGCTTCAAAGTTCAATCAAATTTGATTTTACTTAAAAAAAAAAAAATACAAATATCTAAATCACCCCTTCCTAAATCGTCCTACTGAAGGGAGAAAATTACAACGACCTTGACATAACATTGTATTACAAAAAACCAAAAATTATTCACATAGGTTGTTTTTTTTTATTATTATAGAAAATCGTCAATAAGTCGAGTTGGCCATGAATTTCTTAAGACCTTGAATTTGTCGACGTATTTTGAACGTGTAAAAACGATTGGTATATTTTCATTTATGTAAACAGTGGAAAAGGTAACGCACCACAAGTCACCAAAGTGTTTTTCTTAAGAAAAAAAAATAAGTATTCGGGTTAACGCTTAGGTGAGAATTCGATAAATAACATTTCCATGGAAAATCATACTTTTAAATTTTTAGTTACTTTTGAACTAGGTGTAACTTTTGAAACACATGCGCCATGAGCGAAATTATACAAAAACCTCACTCTCTAACAATTATTATTGATTCGTATTGGCCTAAAATTAAACGCCTTTATTTGTTGAACATTGTCTTTTATGGTCACCGCAATTAGAAATATTTTTTAATTGATTGGAATACAAAACAATGGGCATTTTTAATAAAACTTTTTTTATTTGACACTAAAACCAAGTATATTAATCATAGCTTAAAGATAGAATGAGTACAGTTAAGTTTAAAAAAAAAATGTCCATGTAGTTGATATTAAAAATGGTGAAATATAGTAAAGTAAGATAAAGAAAAACAAACTTTGTCTAGGTAAAATTTGATTTTCCTTTTGATTTAGGAGTAACGACGCAGCAAAGAGTTAATTTTTTTAAAATGCCAAAAAATACTAGTTGTACTTATCCCATTTTCGTACTATGATAAAAACAGTTTTTTTTTGGTATCTATAACAATTTTTTTTAACAATTTATAAATGACCATTAACAAATATTCAATATGGTGATAACATTAAAATTGGTGGGGAAAAAAAATAGGGGCCTCATTTTAAGCCAGGACAACCCAACAAGTCCACTGGTTATCAGAATCCCACAGGGTAAGGCATATATATAAATATACAAGGTGATTTATTAATGGTAAAACGCTTGGTTTTTTTTAGAATAAAAGCAATTTTGTAGTATTACTTTTTTGAAAACGTATTTGGTTATCATATTTTACAATATTATAAAAATAATAAATAATAGCCTTATTTCTTATATAATCTTATTTCCATAACCATATCAACTTTCAGTAACTCAAATAGCAACCTATATATTTAATTTACTATTTAAATTAAGAATAATTGTCTAAATATGTAGATTGGCCGGTAACCAATTTTGGGTAACTATTACTTTTGGAGTTACTAAATTTAAAAATTTAGAATATGAGGAAGGGTGGAGTGAAATTCAAGTATACAAAAAGTAGTCAAAGGAAACGAATATAGCCAAATAATGACTAAAAAGTCATAGAACAGGACCTAAGGGTCTAAAAAATTTCTTGAAGGTCCACTTTTTAAACTTAAACGGTAACATAATAATATAGACTTGTTTAACTTTTTAAACGAAGAATATTTTGCCAAAAATTTAGAGCGATTTCTCACAGTTGATATTTTGATTCTTTTTCGATACTTATTACATAGAGTAACAATAATTATCGTGGAAAACGGTGAAATTTGTACAAACAATCGAACAATAGGCGACATTATAGTCGACAGCTTATATTCAACTATATTTTTAAAGCATTGATCTCCTGTTGAAGCAATAAATTAATTTAACAAAAAAAAACATAAATGCCACATTCCTCAATATGGCGTATAAAATATTTGATTTAAATTGGTAAACTGCCACAAAAATCAAATTAGGCAGTTAGGTGTAATAAAAACATATTGCTTAATAGCCATAACGTTAAATTATGGTGCCTGGCTAAGATTTAACTAAGTAACTTGAAATTAAAATAACAAATCGGATAACAAATATAATTGCAAAGTATTGAAATTAAAGCTTTAAAAGTTAATATTAACCACTTTGGAGCAGGTTTAATCTTAAAATTGAATTTTCTCAAAAGTATATTTCAGCTTCGATGCAAAGCGGAGGAGGTATTGGTTTTACTCTGATGTGTGTTTTTTTTATCTGTATACAACTTTTCCAAGTTACGGTGTACACAGATAAAAAATTGGAAGTTTTTCCAATTGACCCCCCAGCCCAATGACATATCCATGTTAAAAAAATCCAAGTGGTTCAGAAGGTTGTATAGTGGTTTACGATTAAGTTTTTATAAGTTATAAAGTAAAATGCCGTAATTTCTTGACCCACTGATTTGGTTGGAGTGGCGTCACCTAATCTTCTCTACATCAATATTTAATACCGCACCGCTAGGAAGTAGGAACACAACAGATAAAACAGATAAGAAGACATCACCCATTTGATATTATGTATTTATTAATAGTTCGTTTATCGTTGTGACCGACGGCCGTCCACCATTATCTTTAATCTACAACCGTCGACCGTATTGTTAATAATTAATCTTATTTTGTAAATCGTGAAATCCGGCGAAACTTATAAAAGCATTTACTTTAATCGTTACTGATTCGCATTATTCATTGTCATCGCTAAAATCATCAACTTTTTAAAACGTATATCTATTACCGTCCATTCGCAACTATACAACCCAAAATTTACACCATCTCGCTAAACAGATTAATTTTTTGTTTTTAATTACTATTCACATACAAAATATTTCCAAATTTAAGGTAATAACTTACTTTATCGTTCATAAGGTCTGTAAAATAAAGATCGATATAGATACAATAATACATGACAATATCAGATCATAGACCAATTGACGATTACCATTTTCGAAGGGTACTCGGGATTCGTGATGTATTTGTCGCATAAGTAAAGCAGTTACTGCATTAGGTAGACTTTCCTTAAAAAAAAAAACATTGTACAGGGTACAGGGTGATATATACAGGATGGTTCATTAAGGATAAGACACTCATTTTCTCGGATTATATTAATATATTGAACAAGATTTTTTTCAAAGATTTTTTGGTACACATTGTACTATATGTTTCTATGTTTTGACAATTTTTATCACCAATCTTTATAAGCCAAAAAGGAGGGGGGGGGGATTTTTGGTTTTTTTTAAATGGTAACATATGTTTTATATTACAAACATTTGAAGACAAAAAATTTTAAAAATATTTTATCGTTTCGATGCGAGTCTGGAAATGGTATGAATTCAGCACAATAAATCTCCACACTGTCTAAACCAAACAGAATCCAAACCAGCACAGCCTAAACAAGTACATTAAAAAATAGTATAGTTTAAACGTGCATACTGTAGAGTATAAAACAAGTTCCACTTAAGCAGTATAGTTCAAACCAAGCAAGTAGGCAAGCCAGTACAGTATAAATCAAGCTCAATTATTAATTAGCATTGGGGCACATAATTTTGAAAAGATAATTGGCTTAAGAGATTACTTTCAAACGTTTTGATGCGTCGAGTGTATTAAAGTATACAAGACTTAGAACGAATACTGTTTTCGTCATACATTTACCATTTAACTTAAATTATATAAGAAGTATTTTTCAAACATAAAAAAAAACATGTACAAAACAAACAAGTGAGGTACAAAGCCAGTAAAAACAACATAGCTGGTGTATTTTGTGTAACAGCCGATTATAGTGTTCAACTATTGTGTTTTTAAAAATTGTACTCTGATATTTTATTTAGAATTATAACCGTGAACTGTTGGTATTGCTCATTTGTTAAAATTTTATCATTCCTTATTAGTTTTACATTAGAGTTCCGAGTATCATGAACCATTTAAGAATCGTGTTGATTTTGGCTTTTGTGATATTAACAAACATACACTCAGGTATGTCGTTCTGTGTGATAAATATATTTGTATACATTAGACCATAGATGTACAGGTTTAAACGTACAACCATAACCATTCTTCGGTTATAGCTGCACACTACATATTCTGTTTTTAATTTGTATACAGCCTATTCATTTTTTTACTCTTTTTAAACGAATCCGCTATATTTATTAATATTCTATTACGGTAAAATTTACAAAACCTTATTGTAGAGTACAAAAGCTGTTGCCAGATTTCTAGGACACATATCAAAGCCTACCACTTTTAGTGCATTAACAAACTTTGTCTACAACATTTGTTACATGTGTATTTGTTTTTGACGTGGCAGGTAGTGGTACCAAAGCAAATGAAAAAATGCAAACGACAATTGGTGGTGCCAGTAGAGGAGGCAAATCATCAAGTCAGGCAAAGCAACAATTAGAAGGCGATTATAATATCGATGATAAACAACGTCAAGTTAGAGAGGTATATAATTAATATGTAAAAATCAGTTGGCGTTTATTTTATTTAATAAAAAAAAACAAAAATGTATATAGGTTAGATACAAACGGAGTAATTACTAAATAAGCCTAAACTTATGTTTATTGGCATTTAATCAAATATTTGATATTTTTATATTTATAGTATTGGTTATACAATCAAACCATGTACCTAGTCCTTTAAATACAGTATTTAATGTTTGACTTAGTATTTATTGCCTAAAAACAATCATAAGCATGTTGTATGATTATTGTACACTGTATTATGTGATTAAACAATATCTTATACAGTTCATCAATATGCCATGAAAATAGAAATAGTGTGAGTCAGAAGGGTTTAATGATGGATATTAATTTTAAACAAATATGAAAAATAAAAGATGTAGTAACCTTGTAAGAAAATTTAAGGTGCCTTAAAACAACCAATCAATAATTGACTGTGTAATTAGTATTTACACAATCAACTATACCTCGAAAAAGTATTTTGTATCTTAGCAATTATCTATTCTATATTACACAGATGGCATCTAACATTTGTTATGAGATAAAAATGTGTCCAAATATTAAAAATCTTATTCTGTTATTATATTATAAAAATAAAAAGATACCATTATCTATTTTTCAATAAAATTGTTATTACTTCTTTATTTGCTATACTTCATATTATAATACTTTAATTTGTATAAATAGTCATCGCAGAACAAATAACATGTACATGTTATAATTAATTAATTTTATAATTATAAAAAACGTGCATCTTTTCAATTTAATTTTTGTTTTATATAAAGGACATGGCAGCCAGTGGTAACAACCCAAAAGGAGAAATGAAAGCGACGAGTGGTGATGCCAGTAGTGGAGCCGAATCATCAAGTCAGGCAAAGCACATCTATGATGATTATTTAAAGTCCCTGAGGCGTTTAAATACATATTAATGTATGGATCTAATTGTACCTATAAAAGATAAAATATATTGCACACCTGAAGGATATTTAGGAAAATAAATAATTAATGAGTTTTCAAGCGTTTATTGCCATATTTATCAATATTTCACAGTATCATACATTTTTCATTACAACTTACCACCCATATTGAATGTAAAGTACATAAAATTAATTTCTGTATACATTTTCCACAAAATAACTATAATACTAAATAAATTACACATTTTTAAAGCGTGTTTGTTGGAATTATTGCCTACTTAGTTGAAGTTCAATAATAATTCATTAGCTTATATTATTATTTTTTCAGAAATTGTATTGTTATAGAAACGAGATAAATATTATATTTTATTGTGCGCACCGGTATGTTCATGTATCTATTTGGGAATTAATTTTTTCCCACAAGTTGTTTTAAACAAATATTCGAACAAAATATAATTATGCCACCAAAGACATCATCTGCTACGCTTAGATTAAAACAATATTACGCTCGTCTTAAAAATGATCCAGTACCATGTGTAGTAGCTGAACCCGTTCCGTCAAACATATTGCAATGGTATCTTATAATCAGTACAAATCAAAATAGAACTAGAGGAGTCCACCGACTCCTCTAGTTCTAAATTTCTTCAATAGCATCTTGAAATTTGCATATTTTTGCATATATAACAATAGGTGGTAGCGACTGGCGACAGCGGCCACAGACGATCGCCGCCACACCATACATTTGTCAGGGACGCAAGTGCGCGCTGCAACAGTATTATTAGTTAAATTATTTATTTTTGTTATTATTGTAATATTATCAATGATGCAATATCAATATTGTATTGAACAACAATATAATTTTCTTAAGTATTAAAGCTTTAAGTTGGCGATTTATTAACTATATAAAACCACTCCCTACGCCTGCCAGCTTTGAGAGTTGACGCGAGCTCCTTCCTCCGATTTTCGACTTGAAATTCGTAAACAGCGTAAATGTATTATTATCTTGCTTCTATTTTTGTTTTTAATTTTAAACTGTCACAACTTAAGCACTGTGCACGTAAGAATAGAATGCAAGACTTTAATACGCAGAGATACCGCCAACATGTGGCTGTGCTCAAAAGTATTCCGTTCGAATTTTGCAAGTCTTTGGGCGATGACCGGTTACGCTTTATGCATTCCAACAACAGCATGATGATCCTGCCTAACTGCACAATTTAGTAAAATGGGCTAAATGCTTCAATGTGTTTAAATATATCGAACGCATGAGGTAGCAAAACGATGCAACTGTAGTTGTAATAATTTAGTTGTAATAATTAACTGTGCATTCGTGAATTATTAACATTTTAGTGAAAAATAATTTGATTTTTTCGTTCTCCTGTAAAATTTCAATTTTTGCAGCCGAGTCATCATTGTTCTACCGAGGCGGCGATATCTTAATTGAGTCCACCAGTTGCAAAAGGTAGTATGAACATTTTCATCCGAAATCGATATTTTCCATTTTTTTATGTTTACTATTCTTTCATTCTCATATATAAATCTCAAGTTTTAAAATATAGTATGTCCAAAGTAATTTTGAAATTAATAGTTGTATTAATGTAAGGAGGAAAAAAATTAGTTTTTACTATTTTTTGACATTTTGTTTGTGTGTACATAAGACCTGGAGTCCACCATTAACATCAGGCTAGAATGATTAAATCAACATATTTATATTTTCCTAAGTGTCTGACGACTTACAAGTAAAAATATATATTTATACTTGAAAATTATTGACTTATGATAAATCTCATATTAAAAATTTTAACACAGTTAAATCTAATTAATTTTTTTTTTTTTTAATTTTAATTGCTAATTAAGTATTGTTTTGTAGAATTCTATCAGTCTGGAGAAAACTGATGTATTCGGATTGGTCAACTACTGCATGCCGAGCAGATGTCTTCATTGCATCTCCAATGATACACTGGCGATGGTAAGGAATTACCATTATGGGCTGAAGCAGTTATCTGCGGACTATCTGACGTCGTTCCCGATTTGTCAAAATAATAAAGAATTCCGACTGGGCAAATGCGGAATGTTTCCAACAGTATTTTAAGGGGGCTCCATATAGACCATTTTTTCAGTCAAAACACATTATTTTCATTCCATCGCACAGGCCAAACCAGTGATCCGATAAGCAATCTAAAAACAGATTTGAATTTTTCATGAAGTTTACTTAGGATCGGTCGAGGTACTTTTTTCAATTTTTAATTTTAACCCTTTCTAAATTTTATTTAAAATGTTGAAATTTTATAAAATGTTCAAACGTGTTTTATACATAGTAAGAATAAGATATCAAAAAAGTACGTTGACCGATCTCAAGTAAATTTCATGACGAATTCAAATCTGTTTTCATATTACTTATCGGACTACTGATTGAGCCTGTGCGATGGAACAAAAAATGTATGTTATATTAACTAAAATGGCTTTTACTCATAGACAAAATGATTTAAATTAAAAATAATACCTTGAAGCTTGTACAAATTAACCGGTAAATTTATTGACATGGTCGAAATTTATTTAAGCCAATTTTTTCATAAATATTGCCTATACAAAACTCCTTAAAAATGGTCTGTATGGAGCCCCCTGAATAGTGAAAATTAATACTAAATTGATTTTACTTAAAAAAAAAACTGTAGTAAATTTTAGATTTAATCGTTAGTTAGACAATTTAATTACAATTAATGTATGTAATATGTATTATCGTTAAAAATGTCTCGTACATGTTAATCTAGCGTCATCTATAATAGTCAATTTGCTAATATTTTGTTTAAAACTTGTCATAATTTTGTCAGTATATCAAAGTAGTATATATATATATATATATATATATATATATATATATAATCGGGATTTCCCGTAAACTATGCACAAGCAATTTCTATTTTACTTTACTTACGTTTTTAGATGGCTAGCTATAAACCTCCTAGCGCTAACATTATTATATGAATTTGATATCAGTTTTCATTTTGGCCTACTGCATGCCTGTAAGCATTTTAAAAATGACTTATTCTATATTCTAATATATGCTTAAAAACTGACAAAAACCAAAAACTAGGAGGCGATGATAGATTTCATTTTTTTTTTAGTTGATAACTATACCTGTAACTTTCCTTGGTGGAACCCTGAACCACTCTTTGATATATCTACAATATAAGTTTATAAAATATGTCATACCGCAGGAGTAGAAAAATTAAGTAAAAACTTTAAAAAATATTTTCCTATTGTATGACTTGTATTATATTATCTGTGATTCATAGTTTTAAAATATAGTCAACCTTTGGCCAAAACATACTTAACTTGAGTTGTTTTTAAAAGGAATAGCAACTCGTTTTCTAAAATGTAGGTATAAATAATAATAAATAGGTAATAATAAAATAATACTTAACTATTTAACTAGAAGTATCGAATTTATACATACATTTTTTTTGAAAAAACAGAGACTTACCCATGTCGTTTTTGAAATGACCGATTCGATTATAAATTTGATGTTATGTGTGATTATATTATGAACTATTATGGTATAATTTTTGAATAAATAAAATATAGTACTACAAAATACGGTATTTAATATATTCTTTTATTTTCATTTTTTTTTTAAATTAGGATATAATCAGTTTGTAATTTTTGAAATTAGATACATGGGTTTTTATTTTTTATTGTAGACTTATTGCTTGATTAAAAAATCAGGGTTCCCTTTCCTGGTATTCCCTTGAATCTTTCATTTTCCATCCCGTTGATCTTGAGTGTACCTTCACCCCATTGTATCCACCGTAGATCTTCTGCTTGAATTTCTGGGACGTAGATGCCGTTAATGACGAGTGTTTCGCCGTCAAACGACTGGGTTACGGAATCTAAGATGGTGACTACACCTATTGAAACGTTTTCAATAAATTAAATGTGATATAATGTAACACGATAATAACTCTACGCCGAGGTCGAATTACACTTACCTGTACTTGTGAAATTCTGTGTACCTTCATTACTATGATTCGATCCGTCACGTGACGCCACTGCTGGATCACCATGGTAGTCATAATACACACCTATTGGATATCTGTTACTGGGAGTCACACCGCGTGAAGTACTAGCTACTTCACTCGGTTCAATAATCGGTTCACTCGGTCCAATCGGTTCACTCGGTTCAATTGTTTCACTAATTTCAACTGATCCATGCCGTTCAGACGTTGGTACTCTAATCGGTTGAATTGGCTTACTAAGTTCAATGTTATTGTTGACATCTTCATACTCCCATTCATCACCTAAAACAAAGTGTTACCGACTGATATATCAATAATATAATCTTAAAAACGAATGTAGCTCTCATCGTTTTGTAATCGAGTTTAGTTCTATTATTTTTAACTTGGCTGAGGAGGTATTAGTTTTAATGTATGGGTTTGTTTTACAGTAGACACGTTAAATGTTGGAAATAATGCTGAAGTAATTATTTATTGGTTGGTTAGTTTTTTTTACAACATTATAACTTTCCCAATTGACCGGTTTAAATGTCAGACGATTAGTCTCGACGAAAAGTCAACGACATCATGCTGCAATTTTTTTATTGACCCCAAAAAATAAAAATAAATTAGGGTGATTTTTTTTTTCTCCTTTATTTTACATACACGATCTAATACAATTTTAGTATAATAAGTATATACGATGACAGGTAAATTATAGACATTGAAAGTATGAAAAAAAAGCCGTCCACTGACGACACTCTTATTAACTTCGTTTTTTAATTAATTGATAGTGAGAAGGTCTCTGCACCACTTCCTTTTAAGTCTCTTTGGTGGGTTGTTGGGCATTGAGGGTAATGTGAGATTATTTACAAGGGGGTTTGGGTGATTTTGAAGAGAATTGTGGTATCGTCTGTAGTAGTCTTTGGCAACTTGCGTTATTGTTTTTATTTGTAAATCAGAGTGTAGAGTATGGTTTGATATATAAGGTGGTGAAATGGTGACGAGACGGAGTATTTTATTTTGTGAGACTTGTATTTTGTTAAGGTTCGAATTCTTAGCTGATCCCCAGCTTTGGACTCCATAGCGGCTTAAGTAAGAGTTTATGAATGGTTAGTTTTGTGTGAAGGGGCAACTTCGATTTAGAATGAAGAAATCTTCTAAGAATGTTAAGACGTAAGTTTAGTTTAGTTCTAGTGGAGTGTATGTGGTATGCCCAGTTTAGTTTTTTACCAAAGTGTACCCCAAGGTATTTGATAGTATTTGATGAGGGTATTTGAACATTGTTTAGAGTAACGTGAGGGCAGATTCCTTGTTTGAGAGTGAATGTAATATGACAGGATTAAGTTTCATTAATTTTGATTTTCCAATCATTGTACCAGGTTTGAAGACTATTGAGGTGTGATTGCAAGTAATGAGAAGCAATTTGGGGGTCGTTATGAACAGAAAGGATTTTTTCAGTATTTTTTGCAGTTTCGTGGGGCTTAAAAGGATTTGTTAAATGCTTTTGGAAAAGTTCTGCTTTTTCCTGAAAATTAGGGTAATTTAATCATATTTTATTGTGTAAAAATATGTATAGATTCATAATTATATTGAATCGATTTATCGTCTGTACTGAGAAGGTATAAGGTATATTTAATTTTCTGTTATTTCATCCCGAACCATTAAAAAGCGATTTCTTTATGTAACAAATTTATAGATAAAAAATCTTACCTAAAAGATAACTAACTCTAACACGACCAAAAATAAAGAAAAGAAATGTAACCAATTCTTTTCAAAGTCGCTAAAAATGTAAATGTACAATTTTTTCAATTTAAAATTACGGCACGCTATAGCTTTTTAAAAAATGGTTGAATTTTTTTTTAAATTGAAGGGGGTAATTTTTTGAATAATACAACCGATGTACAGTAAAATATTAATAAAATACCGGCACTTTACGCTGAAAAGGATAGACAGTTTGGACTATGTCGTTTTATTTCAAAATTTCTATAGCCTAACTTCTTTTTTAATTAGTAAAACCTAAAATAACTACTAAACCCGAAGAAACAAACACAATAATTTAATAATAAATTGTTGGATTGTACTGTTTAGATTTATACCAGTAATTTTTATTGAATTTAATACTTTTATTGTATACATGATAATAAATTTTATAATTTAGAATTTAGAAAAATCCTATGGCAATTAAGTAGTTATTTTTTTTTTTACAATACTATAATACACCAATCAATCGGCCAGTTTAAACTTTTAGTAGATTATTCTCATAAAAAGTGACCGACACGCGAGCTGGTAATTTTTACTTAAGTGAAATATAGAAAGTTAAGTCTTTAATCATGATTATGTTAATCTAATAATTAAAAATATAAACTTAATCAAGAATAACATTTTTAACTTATATATGCTAATAAAGTAAGATGATTAAAAAATTAATTTTTTTGTAGGTACATACGAATAATGTTTTTAGTGACTAAGTAATAATCATTGTATAATTCAATAATATTATTTATAACTTCATTTAACTTATAAAACTTAATTAGGACTAATGTTTACGCATTTATAAAATGTAATGAGCATTTGTCTAATTCTTCGATGAATAATAGCATTTAAACTAAAAAACTGCGTATAACATGTTTTCGTATCATAATTTTTTTTAAACATAAATAGAGATATCAGATTTACAAATAAGACGTTTTTTGTTCACTATTAATATACAAGCAAATTCTACGTCCACTACTCACCTACGCTTGCTCTATTTGGGGTAGTTGTGCACCTACACACTTGGAAAAAATTCAAACCTTCCAAAAATAAGGTATTAAGAATAATAGCTAACGTTCCCTGGTTCGAACGCAACAAAAATGTACACAAAGACTTCCAAATATATAAAATATTAAAACTGCAGTGTATATTGCATATCCTTAGATGTAGATAGCACTAGCTAGGAACGTCTTATTGTAAATAAATAGTTTTAAAAAAAAATAATAATAATAAGACATTTTTATCTAGTGTTTTTTGTTATCCCCAAAATTACTAGGTTAATAAAAATTAATTATATTATCCTAATCAAGATTTGAGTTTTTCGCCAACTTTACTAGGTCATGTAGGAAACAGATTTTTATATTATTAATAAAATTGCAAATTTCATTTGTTTAACAACAAGAAACTTACATTTTTAATAAATATCGGCTTCCTACATAACATAGTAAAGTAGCCGAAGAGCTCGAATCTTTTTATAAAATTGAAATTGAAACTTCCTAAGTAGTTGACATTTTTTCTGATTTTTCGGTCTAAAATATACCACAATGGCTTTTACTGATAGAAACAATATTTAAATTAAAAATATATCTTAGAACTTATAAAAATTTACCGGTAAACTAATTGACATTGTCGAAATTTATTAAAATCTCTTTTTTCTTAAATATTGCCTATTCACAACTCTTTAAAAATATACCGCATGCAATCCCTTTAACTACGAACAACAATGATTAAAAATATTTATCATGACTGAAAATGTTTATCGTGATCAATATTTATATAGTCATGATTAAATTTAATTAATCGCTTTTAATAATTAACTTAATCAGTATTAGTATGGTTATTTACGATATATAAATAATCCACTTTTATTTAAAACATTTATTTAAACTAAAATATATGATTTAAATAATGCGCAACTTCGCCGACATGAGGCCGCAATTTATTTTCAATTTCATTTTTAAAGCTAAATAATAATAACAAAACAGTTTACTGTGGAAAATAAGGGTTTTATTTTTGCCTAATATGTTTTACCACATGTAATTTCTCATCCAATGTTATTTCCAAAATCAGTCACGATAATAATTGGTACTAAAAATCTCCACGTCACCAATATGCTTTGACCCCACTATGCCCCGACCTCGTTAAGTTATAATTTTTTATACCAAATGTCCAAATCTTATATTATATAATTACCATCTAAGCTGCCTGCTAATGGCGGTTCCAGGCCGCCACCACACCTGAAACGCAAACGTTTATATTTAAAATAAAAATGAATACACGAAAACTCTAGATTTGATAAAATATTATCACTCTTTATAAAAAAAAAGTACTTACGCCGCGTATGCTGCCAGATTAAGCAAGAGAACAATTGTAATATTCATCATGTTAACTGTTATGATCTGTTATGAACTATTTAGTTCGACTGTACTAAAATATTCAGTGTTTTCAGTATGTATAATACCAAAGTCAACGAGTCTAGAAATGATTGACACATAGTTGGGGGTACGGATGTTTTTAAGTTTTTGCGCACGAAAAAAATCCATATTTACATTTGTTTGCAAGAAAATATAACTGTCCATAAGAACACACGAGTTGTTTATGAGCATCTTATAGACATTTTTGCCGATATTAATTTAACGCTCGTTGTAATGTAAAATAATTTTACTAAAAAATATGTACTTGCTTAGTGCATAATATTTTTTTCAAAGAATTTTTGCTCGTAAATCGTACACAAAAGCAGTACACCGTTGTGTACTCGATATTCGTATTATTTGCAAACCACATCTGCACAAACGTTTTGCCTGGCACGTGGAAAACAGGCCGGTGTTATTGAATTTGAGGGCAAAATCCAAGATACAAAAATATATTGTATGCAATAGCTCATCAATAATAACTATAGTAATCAAAATAATTTACTATTGTAGCTCAAAGTGATAAAATCACATATAATACACGAATCCTATGATGGTAGTCCAACATTCCAAGTTGGAAATATGTCCATCGTCTGCACATTTTAATGAAAATTCTTTAATGAAATATTATGATAGAAAAATTGCCAACAACATGACAGTATTTTTAATAATATTCATAAGTACTACACATTGTGGACAGCATGGTTGAAGCATTGATCAGTGGAAAATTTGTACAAAACATTTGTTTGCCGCTTTGTATAATTAAGTTTTTTTTCTTGGTCTAAAAACTACACCACAAAAAAATTTTCCTCTTTCCAAGAAAACTGACTAATGAATTTTGTTTTTCAATTTACACTAGTAGACCGTAGAGTTGTATCAAAACAACACCTGAAATAAATTTGGAACAAATCCAAACTTTTTTTTAAAAAAAATAATGGTCTGCTGTATTTTCAAGTCGAACGTTTTTAAATTTGATGCGGGATGAAATAATTTAATTTTTGGCAAACATAAATGAAAAACACGTGTAAAGTATAAGCTTGCTAAATGAAGAATTTAGTTCAGTGGTTAAAAAAAATGTTGTAAACAAAGACGTAAAAAAAAAAAATACATTTAAAACAACATAGCGTAGTTAAAACCCTTAGTATTACATGACAGTAAATAAACAGTAACAAGAACATTTATAATATTTGTTAATGCCTATTGATTAGTAATAAACTTTCCTATATGTTCAGTTAAGCAAATTATTAAATAAAAGAAACCTATGGTGATGGTAGTTCCATAAGGAAATTGCTTAACGTCGTTTTAGAGTCAACTGGTGCCCTCCGAAATCTATCATATGCGGTAGATCAATGGGGGACCCAAATCTGCTACATTTGCTACAAAAAAATCTGTTTAAAATGGCCTAAAGATTTACTTGGCTTGGCTTAAAGTTATTTTTCTAAGAAAGGTACTACATATTATTTTTTAACAGCTTGCGTACAAGTCCGCTACACCACGGGATACATTTTTATGTCTCGTTATGCGGAGCACCGTCCGCTTTTTTTTTTTATAAAGCCTTGACACCATTCGAAATATTTTTCGTTGATAACCCAAAATAAACACTTGGTTTGCGACAATGGTAACCACGGTACTCGAATGGTAGGTGATGATTAATTTTATGTTGTGGCCAAAAGTATTTTAGTGTTTTTTTTAATAATTGCCCTTAATCGATTTATTGGCAAAACGTTTACATGGCTAGTTATTTTGAATCAATTCATAAACCATTAATTTAAGTTTGTTCGTTGTGAAAACAACACATAATAAAAAAACTTAACATCCCCTCCCCATCCTCGTCCTCATCCTCGACCTCGACCTCATCCTCAACCTCGACCTCATCCTCATCCTTATAACCACCCCCAGCCCCATTTCCACCCTATCCTTCATCTCTAACTCTCACCCCTTCCCTTATCACTTATCTCTCTTATCAGATAAATCAGCTGTTTTTTTTTTCATTATGATAACCGGTGTCGGTGTCGGTGTCAATTTTTTTCCGGTTGTGTTCCAAAGTAAAACCCATATCTGTTATCTGTTATCTCTCTTATCTAAACAGATAAATCAGCTGTTATTTTTCGTTATGATAACCGGTGTCGTTATGATAAGCGGTGTCGGTGTAGATTTTCCGTGTGTGTGCCATAGCAAAGACATAAAAATGTCAAAAATACTACAAAGATACAAAAAAAAAAAGGGTGTCTGGTAAAGTACATTTATACCTACAATTGTAAATATACTCTTTTATTTTATTTGCTTACATTTTTACAGACTATCAAAAACGAAATTGAAAAACGCAATTTGGCCAGAGCAAATGAAATCAGTACATCGGACCCAGATATCAGCGAACCAGAAAATAATATTGTCGAAACAGTATTGTATTGTCTATTCTATAACTATCCTTATATTTGATTAGACTATAATTAATAAGACCAATTTACAAAGAATTTACAGACCGAGTATTAGTCAAAAGTTTGACCACTGTTAATTGGTAAAAAAATAACATATAGTATAATATTTCTCTTTAAGATTAGATTAAACTATTAAATAGATACTGCAATTTAATACAACTAGCCACTAGGTATTCCGTTTTATTATAAGTTTTTTGTACAAACTGATTGTTTTAAATTTAATAATTATTGCCTCCCAAAAACTGTTGATAATAATAAATATTAAGTTCCAACTTTGCCTCCTCCAGAACAGCTGTTGATCAACTAGTTATTTTCTATTCCATGTCTTTTCTATTTTATCAATATTTCCCCAATTTATAGTTCATACATTTCTATGTTGAATGTAAAAGTACATAAAATTAATTTCTGTTTAAATTTTCGATAAAATAACTATAATATTAAATAAATTACACATTTTTAAAGCGTGTTTGTTGGAATTATTGCCTACTTAGTTGAAGTGAAGTTCAATAATAATTCATTAGCTTATATTATTATTTTTTCTGATATTGTATTGTTATAGAAACTGGATAAATATAACGAGATTATATTTTATTGTGGGAATGCACTTTTTTCCACAAGTTTTTGTAAACAACTATACGAACAAAATTGAATTATGCCACCTAAGACATCATCTGCTACACTTCGATTAAAACATGATTATGCTCGTCTTAAAAATGACCCAGTACCATACGTAGTAGCTGAACCCGATCCGTCAAACATATTGCAATGGTATTTTATAATTGTAGAAATCAATTATTAGTTTAGTATTGTAAAGTAACAATGAATTTACAGGTACTATGTTATAAGCGGACCGGACGATTCGCCATATGCTGGGGGATATTACTTGGGTGGACTTGTTTTTCCTGGAGATTTTCCATTTATGCCGCCAAGCATTTACTCCTAACGGGAGGTTTAAAGCAAACACTCGACTCTGCTTAACAATCAGCGATTTTTGCCCGGATACGTGGAATCCTGCTTGGAGTGTATCTACAATACTCACTGGATTGTTCAGCTTCATGGTAATTGAATGAATCATTGTTTGTGTGCAATTTTAATTTCTTCATTTAAGCTGGAAAACACTCGTACATGGGGCAGTAATAATATGACAGATTACGAAAGGCGTCAACTGGCTGCTCAAAGTTTGGAAACTAACATACGCGATGACAATTTTTGTGAATTATTTCCTGAACTCACAACGGTGATTAACGATAATGCATTTATTGCCAATAAAATAAAATTGGGTACAAATGAAATTTACGAATCGCGAGTCACAATTGGGCGGACTCCTCTAGTTCCAAATTTCTTCAATAGCTTCTTGAAATTCGTATATTTTTTTTGCATGTATAAAAATAGGTGTTAGCGACTGGCTACAAAGATACAAAAAAAAAGGGTGTCTGGTAAAGTGCATTTATACCTAAAATTGTAATTATACTGTTTTATTTTATTTGATTACATTTTTACAGACTATAAAAAACGAAATTGAAAAACGCAACTTGGCCAGACCAAATGAAATCAATACACCGGATTCAGATATCAGCAAACCAGGAAATAATATTGTCCAAACAGTTATTTCAATTCTTAATAGTCAAAATGTTATATATAATTAAATATATATATATTTAAATACTTGAAACTTTTTAAATTTTTAAGCTCAACTAACATATTTAACTGTCAATCAATACCTTTATCCACTCACCCCTTAAATTATTACACAACAAATGACATTATACAAGGAATAAACATCTTTACCTCCCTAACTAAAAGCATTGTTTAATAGTTTTAATTTTTACACAAACTAGTATTTATTCAAAGAAGCAATCGCTAACCTCACAAGTCACTAAATTCATCACTTTTAATTCCACAAACTACTTATATTCTATGACGTTATATTATTAAAAAAATATATACATATAATATTATTAAAACGATGGTGAGAGAATTTCCATTTTATCAATATAAAATGAACCTTTACAAAATAATTAAAGTTAGTTTAGTTGAATGGGTAAGTGGATAAAAGTGATAGCTGATCATTGTAAAACTCTTCAAAAGGCAAAATTTTAGTCAATATATATTCAAATGCTTGAATTTTTAAGCTCAACACTCATATTTAACTGATATAATATTTTGCTAAATTGTAACATTTTCATTAATTCAAATTGTTTTTATATCTATTTTACAAAAAAAGTCACTCAACACCTTTATCCACTCACCCCTTCAATTATTACACAATAAGTGAAGTTTATACAAGGATTAAACGTGTTTAGTGTGTTATTTCTTTCTGTTTGTTTTGAACGAGTTTTGTGGATTTTTGGCTCCAATGATGTTAATGCAAGACGTTGAGCTTTACTTTAAGGTTTATAAAAATGCAAATAATATCCAGATTTTTTTGCAGACCAATAAAATTCACGATAAGTGGATCACCCTGTGTTATTTATTAGATATTTTGATTCTGTGGATGATTTTATTGAGCTTGTAACTATTGGTGTAATTACTTGTTGAGATACTAATCCTTAATTAGTATTAAATTTTCTCTCGTTAATTTAATGAATTATAACGATTAACTCATTTTGCGTTAGATATACCATATAAATACTCTGTGTATAATATTATTGAGCATAATATGTTTTTTAATGTACAAGCGATGGTTACCGTTCCGCTGTCGTGACCATACTGACTTTGTGGTATTTTTTAAAGTTCTATTGCTTTTTTGAATATAAT